GGGGGCCGGGGCTCCCCCCCCCAGCGCCGCCCTCCCAGCGCCGCGCCCCGCTGTGTTGCAGGCGCCGGACTCGCAGCACGGCACGCACGTCTGGCCCTGCGCCGTGGTCCTGGCCCAGTACCTCTGGGTGCACCGGAGCAGCCTGCCCGGCAAGCGGGTGCTGGAGGTAACGGCCGGCGGCCCCCGCGCCCCCTCCGCCTTGGTGCCCCCCTTCTGCCTCCGTCAGCGGGCTGCGGTTTCAGGTCGGCGCGGGCGTGAGCCTCCCCGGGCTGGTGGCCGCCAAGTGCGGAGCCGCGGTGGTCCTGTCCGACGGCGAGGAGCTGCCCCGCTGCCTGCGGAGCTGCCGGCGGAGCTGCCTGGCGAACGGCCTGCCCCGCCTCCCCGTCCTGGGGCTGACCTGGGGGCGCCTGGCTCCCGCGCTGCTCGCTCTGGCTCCCCTAGACATTATTTTGGGATCGGACGTCTTTTTTGACCCCAAAGGTACGTTAATGCTCCCGGGGGCTCGGGTCTGGGGCAAACCGCGAGGGCTTCGCACCCGAGCAGCGCTGGGAGCGCTGCCAGGCCGGGGGCAGCCCGCAGGGTGAGCGCGCTGCCCGGCCTGCGGTTCTAGGGCAGCTCTGGCAGCAAGCGATCATAAACACCCCCGGGTGAACAGAAAATGGAGTGATTAACTGACCGCTCCAGGCCATGCTCCTCGGGTCTCTCACACCGATGCAGTTAGCCTGCATTGATTTTTAATCGCCACTCCATACAACCGGGCACATGTCCTGGAGTCCAGAGACTATCTAGAGTAGTCCAGAGTCTCACCAGAGACTACCTGGAGTCCGCAGACTAAGACTGCCTCCATCTCCCCACACTACGCAGACTTTGAAGATCTTCTAACTACAGTTTACTTCTTGCTGGAAAAGAATCCACATGCTCAATTCTGGACTACCTATCAAGTCCGAAGGTAAACTCTCTTGCATATTTAAGACTCAAGTCTTAACTCCCGCCTCCCTGCGTGACCTCCTCAGAGGCACGGCCGCGCTGACTGCGGAGGCGCTCCTCAGAGCGCGAGCCAGGCTGGCGTTAGCCCAGTGAAGCCTAGGGGCATCGGGCAGGAGCAGCCAAACCAGGAAATAATCCAAGAACCACAAATTTACTGTCGACCAGCAAACTGTTACGAACCCGTTTTGTGTACGGCTGTATTTAGGCTTGGTGACGGTCTCCTACAGCTGCTGCAGGAGCTACAAACGTGCATTACGTTTTCACGCTGGTATTTCCTCCCTCAGTGCCGACTGGTCAATCGAAGCTCTGCTCTGCAAGTGGAAGCTGAAGGCCGTCCGCATTCCCTTACACACGTTCGGCGCAGACCAGGAGCGCCTGGCCAGCTCCTCTCTACCAGGAAGACACACAATCGAAATGATGATCATCTCACTAGCAAGGTCAGATGGTACTTAAGTTTATTCTGCTTGTTGGTTCCAATACAAGCGGATACTTAACTGCTAGCTGTAGCACAGATCTGCAGAAAACAGTCCTGCTTACAGCAAGCCTCACGCGTATTTTTTGGGAAGCAGATCCCCTTAACAGTGATTCTTACAACATGCATTGTAAAAATAAAGCTGTCCAATCGTTTCGCTATGGCTTCTGAGAAATTTGTGCTCCTCCCCAAAGACCGTGTCATCGTTCACAGACTCGGTTCTATTATGCACGCCACGACACAGCTTAACCACCCGACAATCCGCAAGATCCACCTTAAGTTCACACCTTCAGCTATGAAGAGAAGTTAACTGCGCTCTTCCAAGACAAAAAGTATCCCCATAAGATCCGTTTCCCAGGACTGAAACTCCTCCCCAAAGGTTCACATACAAAAGCCAGCCCCTTTGTTTTTAAGGGAATCTGCGTAGACTGCCGCTAGCCACGCAGCCCTGGAACATACAAACTCCTCAGGCTCGTAGAAAAGTACTTTTAATCCTCAATCAAGCCAGATTGCAAGTAATCGGATGTTTCCATTCCCATGTAACATACATGCATAAAGTTAACAAGGCATTACAATAACCCTTGACGGGTGATGGTTGAAGTTACAATTCATTTGGTATCCAAATCAAGAGAAAAAAAAAAATCACCGCTGTAAGATTAGCTACCATCAAGCAGCAGTCTGTTGAGTCAGGGCAAGCACACAGCAAGCGCAGTTAGTACTGCTCAGGGTGCATCTTCCGTAACGACCTCCAACGGACCTGCCTGCCGCTGTTACAGCCCAGCGCGCGACGCTTGCCATACAACATCTGGGTTAGTCACAACACTAGTTCAGTTTGCCCGTAGTAATTTAAAAGCAACCCCAGTGGATAAAATTTCTAAGCGATAAAATGCATTTAGTTACCATATAGAAGTTAAACATTGACAGTATAGTTGCAGAAATCTTTTCAAGCTAAAAAAAAGCTGACTCGGACATTGAGTTGAGAAAAGTTAACACAGAAAAATGTTTAATATTAACTACAGAGACAGTGGGTATAGTACAGAATGTCTTAAGCAAAAGATACACCAATCAGTACTTACAAAGGAATGAACCATTTCTTTTCTTAACATTACATTTCTCATATGTAAGTTCATATATGTAGGTTGGTAAGTTTTACCATTCTGGAAAAAATAAGGTGTGTATATCATCAGCTAGATGTGCTCACTGTATGCTCCATTATTTTTACGCAAGGCCCGGGTGACTGGAAGTGCAGTTGTCAGGCATTTTAATTAACGGGACAGCCATTTGTTTCTGCACGACAAGGCATCGTTACACAGGAGCAATCAGGAGAAAACAGGAAACAGCCAAGCACTCTGCACTGCAACACGCCACCTTAACAGCTAACCAGCATTACTCAACTGCTACACAACTGCGCCTAGTGCACAAAAATACATAAGAGAAGAGATTAGAATTGAGTCTGATAAAACAATCCTTTCAAATATCAACTGTCACCTGAAAAGATTTCTACCAATTTGAATTTGAAGATACTATTTAAATTCAAAGTAAAAAAAAAAAAAAAAAAGCATTTACAGTAAGTTTCAAATTGAAGTTTTGCAGAATTTTATTTAAGGAATGCAGACAAAATTGAGAATACTTTTTGACAGAGTTAGCTACTCAGCATATAATGGCTGCATGTTTCCTCAGTATGAAACTGGAGGCAGCAAGTTACCATCAGTTTAATTTCAAATAAAAGTCAGCACTATATAAACAAAAATGAAGTTTTACCTCAAATATCCAAGCCAATAATGAAATCGGTAGTCGTTCACTTCACTAAATTACAAGAAATTTGAATAACAGCAACAAAATGGCACATAAAATGTAAAATCTGCCACTTGAGGCGCAACTTAAACAAGTAAAAAGTTAGACAAAATGTTACAAAATAACCTTTTCGACAGCTGGTTGCTCGTGCCAGGGGTCTTTCCAAGGGACTGAAGACTCAAGCGATCTTTTCCCCCCAAAGGCGTCCTTTATGTAGACTCTCATTTATCTGATGCATCTAGGTTTGAAGAAAGAGAAGTTCAGCCAGGTTTCTACCTTGCCTCCTCTGGGTGTGTGGATGACTTCAGGTATACTTCTAGTTGTGTGTCAACTGGCTTTGCCTAATTTAATTAAGTTTTAGGAATTTCCATAGTGTTCCGCCTCCCCCCATGTGTTGCTTTACTTCAGAGGCCAAATGTAAGGTTCTGTCCAAGTATTTAGTTACAAAGAAGAATAAGCATCAGGCTGTACATCGAGCCATCGCTAACTTCAATTCAGCCCGCTCAACAATAAGTTATTAGAAGTTATATAAAAGTTATAAAACTAGTACTTCTTCATAGAGACTTAACTAAACTCTAATTAGCATTCAAAACAAAGTGTGACTAATTTTGCTACAGTTATCTAACTTCAGAGCTACCTTAGGCCCTTTCCTTTTAAAAATAGGACCAAACAGTTTGAAGGGTTAAAGACACACTATCCTTTCCCCACCCGGTGTATCCTTAGATGCCTCTTCAAGATGTCGACTTGAGGAAAAACTAGTTTCCATGGTTTTCTCGTTGCAAGGAATTTGCCACTTTTCTAGAACAGTTATTACCTCCAGTCAGTACAACGGCCACTGAACCGATCTTCCATTATAAAAGGATAGTGTATCTTTAACATTTAAAGACAAACCTGCTCCAACACACGCCCACAGAAACTGGTCCCTGGAGGATCAGCCAAATCAGTTAAAATCTGCAATACTGGCCAATATTCTTTTAGCAAACAGGAGACCGCAGCTTTAAAGGGGAAAATGCAGATGTTGGATAAATACAGTAAGAAATAGTCATTTGCATCATAGGTTGCGTCTCATACAATATTTTATTAAAACCAAGCCATTAATCTCTCAATAAAACATTTTCTCTGTAAAAAAACTTCTCTGTAGAAAGCCCTTCGGTATTAATTTCCCTAAACCAATAACCAAAAAGCACTGCTAAAGAAAAAAAAGCTATTAATGTGCCCCGTTAGGATTCACTTGGTTCAGGCTATTAACACTCTAAGAACTACCCAACACCCCACCTAAGTGCTACAATAAAGTAACATGCACCATGTGCTGATCCCGAGGTACATTACCATGCTCCTAGGAGGACACAGCTCCTTCTTCTTCCGGAGACTTGGGAGGGCTCTTAGACCTGGATCTAGAGTTGGATTCCCTCTTTGAGGCGGGGGGAGGGCTTCTAGACCTGGACCGGGATCTTGACCTGGACCGGGATCTGGAGACAGACGAGGACTTTGACTTGGATCTCCTGGCAGACCTGGACTTCGAGGTGGAGCGAGACCGAGAGCGTGTGCGAGACCGGGATTTGGAGCGACTGTAGCGGGACCGACTGCGGGATCTAGAGCGGCTCCTGCTTCTAGATCGGCTGCGACGGCGTCTTCTAGGGCTAAAACACACCGGGG